TCACATCCTCACGTCCTCACATCTTCACTTCCTCACATCCTCATATCCTAATGGCTTTTTTGGGAGTCTTTATGGCTCCTTCTTGTCTAAGAGACAGCAGGTCTTCAGAGGACTCTATTCAGGGACAGCAGGTCTTCAGAGGACTCTTCCGATCTCTCCTCAAGGTCCTCCTGGTCCTGAAGGCAGTCTAACGTGCACGTTTTCGACTGTGGGAGAAAACCCACGAGAAGATTCTAACTCCACACAGAAAGAGCCCGGTCCAACCCGGGGACTGAACCCAGGACCTTCTTGCTGTGAGGTAACAGTTATAACCACTGAGCCATCATTCTGCCCTCGGTTTGACCCCTCCCCTGAGACCTGTTGACCCTGGAAGACCCTACCAGAGGCTGACCTGACACCCCCCCCCCCCCCCCCCGACAACAGAGCCCTCAGATCCCTCCTACATGTTCAGGTGGTGATCCTGTGGAGAGGCTGAGGAGGTTCATCTGGACACCTCCCTGTGGAGGTTTTCTGGGCTCTGGGCTGGTGAATAGTCCTGCTCTGGAGGGATTATACATCCTCTCTGGTCTGGGAACACCTTCAGGGCCCCTCAGCAGGAGCTGGGGAGAGTCTCTGAGGAGACGGAGGTCTGGGTTTGTCTTCTGGACCTGACCACAGATCAGAAGATTTGTTTGGATCAGTTTACAGTCGAGTTCTGAGCTCTCTAGATTAATAGAGTCAGTGTTTAATGACTTCACATAATGTGAACATGTAAATGTTTTGTTTCTTCTCAGCGTCTCGTCAGGCACCTCCTTCTCTGCTGAGGATCATGGGTCGAACTCCTCCGAGAGGTAAACCCGCCGCTCCGTAGCTGCAACTCCACCTGGAGTCACGACGACGAGCCTCACTGCTCAAAACGTTTGAAGTTTCCTTTAGCTGCTGCAGGTTTGGTGCCTTCAGTCTGTCAGAGTGGAACTGAGTCCTGGTCCTGGTTCTGCTTTCAGATCCAAAGGAGGAGAAGAAGGAGAGACGGAGCAGCATCTCAGCAGGCTCTGCCCTCGACAAGTCCAGCGGTTGGTTTTTCTTCTACTCCCCACCGAGCCTTTAAACCTTTGAATGTTTTGTACGGATGATTTGTTTAAAGGTTTAAAGTCATACTTTAAAGTTAAATTTAAAGACGACTCAGTTCTGCTCAGTCAGGATATTCAGAACAAACCCAGAAAACAGAACTTCAATTAAAAGTTTGGTGCAGGGTTATTCAACTGGTGGCCCGGGGGCCAAATCAGGCTCGCAGGTGAGCTCAGTTCGGCCCACCAATGGGTTCATTTTTAAATAAAATTAGATTTTAAACAGTAAAACAAACTTATTTAATGACAGTAACTGCTGGATGTCCGGCCCCTGAGCTCTTGGTTTTCAGTAGCTGTGGCCCCCTGAGCACTTAAGTTTTATAGCTCTGGTTTAGTGTTTCTTGAATGCATGTCGCCCGCTGTTTTGCTAAAACTGTAAAAATGACCCTCATCATGACCTGTTAGCCCTCAGAGCATGTGTTAGCGATGACTCTCAGCTACTCCCACACCACGTTTTAGCTGAACATCTGTAGAACTGCCTGAGTCAGAACCATTCATGTGTTGGCTAGGTTTAGTTAGCTGCGGCGGCCATCTTGAGTCAGGGTGTTGATATACAGCCAGTGCTTACCAGCACTTTCTGTGAGTTTCAAGTTGAGATATTTTGCTAACACGGAGGACTTTGGGCCCAGTGAAGTGTTGGTGAACGTTGATTTTTTTCTTGGTTCTGCTGACAGAACCGTTCAGCTGGGAGGAATATCTGAGAGAGACGTCGTCCACCGCCGCCTCGCCGGCTTGCTTCAGACAGGTATCTTCACTCTCAAACACTTTATATGATTTCTCGCCTCCCGGTTCTTTTCAGGTTGTTTTTATTTGCCTCGTGCCTGTAACGTTGTTTTTCTGCTGTTTGAAGGACACTTTAGAGTTTGTTACATATTCTGGTGTAGCCTCCGTCCGTCTGTCTGTAAGTTTTCTCTTACATTATTTCAGTATTTGTCCCGAGCAGCGACGACGTCCAACATTTTAATACAAACGAGAAGCTTTGGACAGGGCTCCAGGTTTTTCTCTGTTGTCCCTTTTTGACTGGCCGACCACCCCACCTCCAGCCCGACCTGGTTCCTGGTGGAGGGGGAGGTTTAAAAAAAGAGGTGCAAACTCGGTGAGGGTGAGCTGAAAGTGAGCAGACGTTCTGGGGATTTAAGATGTTTTGGTGCTCTGCGCCAGTGGGCCTCTGCTCTTAGACTATATATATATATATATATATATATATATATATATACACACACACACACACACACACACACACACACATGCATCATCACTAGACAGAGTGTCACATGCACTGTTCACCCCCAGCTTCAAGATCACAAATCAAGGCCAAAGGTTCTACAAGGCTTTTTCTTGCTACACCGGCGTATGATGCTTTGTGTGCGGTACCGTTGGTTCTTAATGTTCGAACACCAGCTGCTGTTTTTATCTCGCTCCATCTTCCTCCAGAAACCATCAGATTTGGACAGAAAGGAGGTAGATTATGGTTCCTGTGAATTAGATTATTCTGGTTCCATGAATGTGGGCTTGAAGTAGCCCGAGCTTTTAATTTAAAACCGTTAACTTTGTTTTTTGATAAAAATGTATCTTCTGAGTGTCATTAACAGTTGACAAGGGGACAACTCAACATGTCTCCCTGCAGTCCAGAGTCCCTCCCTCCAATGAGTTTAAATCAGGCATGAAGCTTGAGGCTCGAGACCCTCGTAACTCCAACTCCGTCTGCGTCGCCACGGTGATGGGCATGATGGGTACCCGCCTGCGCCTGCGTCTGGACGGCAGCGACAACACCAACGACTTCTGGCGGCTCGTGGACTCTTCGGACATCCAGCCAATAGGAAGCTGCGAGCGGAGCGGGGACATGCTGCAGCCGCCGCTGGGTGGGTGTCCTCGTTGGCAGCTCGAGGTTTGGGCTTTATCGTGAACTTTGTGACAACGAGTGAAATAACGGAGCACTCTTTGACCTTTGTTCACTTCTTTGTCCTTTTTATTGTCCAACCAGACTGTCTTCACAGTAAAGGTTTGGACTCAGAGCAGGACAACGACATCAGAACAGTTTTATCATTACAGTGACCCAAACCAGAGAATAGAACAAAAACCCGCAGCTGTGGGTTTACACTTTTTAAAGAGGTTTTTATTGTAGTCCAAACTCCAGCTTGTTGAACTTCAGATGAATGAAGACAGATCAGTGACGGGACAAAGTCCAGCCTGCCAGTTCTGAGGGTTTAGAACATAAAACACCAGATCAGGCTCTAAAACGGTTCTGCTTGGACCTGAAGTGAACAAAAACTGGTTCCACTGAGTCATTATTTATTCAACAGAACCTGATTCCAGGTCCTGATCCAGAACCTCCTTCAGCAGCAGAACCCCCAGTGGTTCTCTGTTTGTCTCTCATGGTTCAGTGAGTTCTGGTCCACTCTTCTTTCCATCATTGAGGGTTCTGCTCATCTCTCTGAAGGTCCATCACAGCATGTCTGTCAGGTTCAGGTTCTGGACTCTGACTGAACCTGGACCATTGGTTCTGTTCTTTCTGACCAATTCTGTTTTAGATCAGATGCTGTGTTTGGGATTATGGACCCAATTTGGATCCAGTTTGGTCCAACATTCAGCTGTTGGACTCCAGAACCCTTTGGTCTCCAGAGGAGTTCTGGTCCACTCAGTGACTGAAGTAGCCCAAACCATCAGCCCTCCACCACCATGCTGACAACTGAGAGGAGCTGTTTGCTGCTGTGCATTCTGGGCAAACATCTGGTCTGGTTCTGATCCTGAAGTCTTGTGGTTCCTTCAGATGAAACTTTCCAAACCTAAGTCGAGCTGCCATGTTGTTTTTAGAGAGAAGAGGTCATGACCTTTGACCTGCTGACTGAGGCCTGTAGAGTCACTGCATGGTCTGACCTTCAGGGTGAATCAGTTGTCTGAAATGTGAATCATCTTCCTCTCTGCAGAACGATGGACTCTAAATGACTTTGACCCTTCCCAGATTGACAGACAGCCATGGCTGCTACTCCGAGGTCATTGCTCATGTCTTTCCGTCTTGGTGTTGTGTTCACACACACCTGGATGGTCCAGATCAGCAGAACCTCCTGATTATGAGCTCCTGGACCTCTGAGGTCCTGTGGGAGCAGCAGGACTGGAGCCAGTTTTTCTCACCCATCTTTAAAAATGAAACATGAAAAACGTAAATCAGCTGACTGACCTCCATATTTGTGTCCAGGTTTCAGGATGAACGCCTCCTCGTGGCCCACGTTCCTCCAGCGGACCCTCAGTGGGGCAGAGATCGCCCCTGCCTCTGCTTTCAAGAAGGTAAAGACCCCTGAAAAAAACAAAATAAACAAATAAATTTGGGATTAAATAATCTCACGCTGGATAATTCAGACGTGTTTTATCTGGCGGGTAAATCAAAACGAAGCAACTCTGTTTAAGAGTCACAAGGTCTCAGTGATTCTTTTTATTTAAAAAAAAATCCTGTTTTATTTAATTTTTCTGTAACAATTACAGAAATAAAAGTGATACAACCATGATTGTCAAAATAAAAGCCTCATCAGCAGAACTATAACCATTACTGTCAGAATTAAAGCTCTTTAGCTGATCCAAAACTTAACTGTTAAATTAAAAGCCTCGTCCAGGGAACCAAACCTCGAGTGTAAAAATAAAAGCCTCTTTAGCAGAACCGTCATCATGACTGTCAAAATAAAAGCCTCATCAGAAGAACTAAACCCTAACTGTCAAAATAAAAGCCTCTTTAGCAGAACCGTAACCATGAATGTCAGAATAAAAGCCTCATCAGCAGAACCATCATCGTGTCTGTCAAAATAAAGCCTCATAAGAACCATAACCTTTACAGTCTGAATAAAAACCTCAGCAGATCCAAAACATGACTTTCAAAATAAAAGCCTCATCAGGAGAACCAAACCCTGACTGTCAAAATAAATGTCTCTTTAGCAGACTCGTCATCATGACTGTCAAAATAAAAGCCTAGTCAGGAGAACCAAACCCTGACTTCAAAATTAAAAGCCTCTTTAGCAGAATCATCATCATGGCTGTCAAAATAAAAGCCTCATCAGCAGAACTATAACCATTACATTACTGTCAGAATAAAAGTCTCATTGGGAGAACCAAACACTGTCAAAATAAAAGTCTCTTTAGCAAAACTTTAACCATGAATGTCAGAATAAAAGCTTAATCATCACGACTGTAACAATGACTGTCAAAATTAAAGCCTCATCAGCAGAACGGTCATCATGACTGTCAAAATAAGAGCTCATCAGTCAAATTAATTTAATTGAACTCAGAACTCGAAGATTTTTATCAAACAACTAAAATATATTATTTTAATCATATAGTTTGAAAATCAGACGTTTAGTTTTATTTTTGTTTATTTTATTTTGTCATTTCATTTTTTTGTTTTATGGTTTTTGGCTCAAATCTTATTTCTGTTTTATTTGATAAAGACAAAGTTTCGGCCTCGTTAATGAAGTTTATTTTGACACAATATAACTTTTCAAAGTAATGGCATGTTTGTCATTAAAGCTGATGGAGGTCAAACATTCTGGATGTTTCAGGAACCTCCCAGTCCCGTTCAGAACTTCTTCCAGCCCGGCATGAAGCTGGAGGCGGTGGACCGGAAGAACCCCTACCTGATCTGTCCCGCCACGGTGGGGGAGGTCCGAGGTCCTGAGGTCTTCGTCACGTTCGACGGCTGGAGGGGCGCCTTCGACTACCGGTGCCGCTTCGACTCCAGAGACATCTTCCCGGTGGGCTGGTGCTCGCTGACCGGACACAGCCTGCAGCCGCCGGGGAACTTCTGTAAGAACTTTCACGTTTTCTTCCATCGTTTCACGGACAAAACAGAACAACGTACGTTTAGCTGGGCCTCGGCTCGGATCAGCACGCTTCAGAACTTTACGCCAAAACATTGAGTTTTGAATCCAGATGAGTTTCATCTGCCTGGCAGATCAAAAACAAACACAAAACATACAAATGAAGAAAAAAAAAGAGAGAAATGTTTCCTGCCAAAATACAAATGATTTCAGCTGAAAGCAGCTAAAATGGTTTCATCACTAAACTCAGTGGAATTTGAACAGCTGACGTTTGCAGAAAGCAGCAGAAAAACAGACGAAATGTGTAGAAAATGATGAAAACAGCTGAAAAGCAGAATTAGCAAATTAGCAGAATACCTAAAAAAAAGTAGCTGAAAATAGCAGAAAAAGGTGAACTTAGCAGGGGAAAAAAAGCTGAAAGGAGCTGCATGAAGTTGAAGGAAGCTGAAAATAGCAGAACAAGCTAAAGAAAAGTTTAAATGGATGGAGATTTGGAATAGATTACAAAATATCTGAAATAAGCAGAAAAGAGCATAAAGTAGCTGAATACAAGCTGAAATGAGCAGTGACAGGTTGTAAACAGCTAAAGGGTTTGAAGGATGTATTCATTTTCATTGAGGAAAACATGGCCGACAAAGCTAAATATCCATAAAGTAAAAACTGCACAAACAGCAGAAGTCCCAGCAGGAATGTCCTGAATGAGCCGAAGGTTTTGGGACATGACTCATTCCGAGTTGAAAAACGTTTCTGTCCGTGGGGCTGAGCTGCTCTCGTTTCACACTGACTCGTTTCTGAGTTTTATTTTTATGAAAATCCTCAAAGGTCATAAACAAACTGCACACATGGACGGATGATGGGACGTCTCTGTCCATCGATGGACAGTTAGGGTCTAAACTGATCATCCTTTACCATAAAATGTCAAACATCTGGACACACCACGAGTCAAGGACGGTCCTTACTGATTTCAAGGTCATGGGGTCAAGGTCACAGGTGACTTCTGATTTAAAACCTCCTCTCTCCTCCTGCTTGATATCCCAGGAACATAAAAAGTCTTTGCCCATTAGATTGTCCCAATCTGTCCATCCATAGGACTGTCCACAGTATGATGTCCAAATGGGACTCCACAGATGTTTAGGTTAGAAAATGTCTTCAGACCATTTATTTTAGTTGCTGTTGCCTCTCAGCGAGAAGGTCGCCAGAATAAATCCCATCTGGAGCCCTTTCTAACTTGTCCATAGGTGTGCATGGTTGGTTGTCTCATTTGTCTCTACATGTCCCTGTGACTGACCTGTCCAAGTGTCCCCGTGATGGACTGTTGTCCTGTCCATGTGTCCCCATGATGGACTGGAGACCTGTCCATGTGTCCCTGTGATGTTCTGTCCTGTCCGAGTGTCCACCACTAGAGGGTAGCAGAGCTTCAACTTGATATTTGAACTCTAATGAAAAAAAAAAAGAAAGAAGGTGAATGAGTGAGAAGAGCTTCTTGTGTTTTCTCCCTATAATTACCCACAATCCTCTATGGGTTTTTTTTACTTCAAAGAACATGGAGCAATGGTGATGCTTTGTTTGGAGATTCGTGTGTGTGTGTGTGTGTGTGCAGAGTTGTCCCTATGTTGTATACATGTATCATTTTCACATATTTAACTGCTTTAGTGTAAATATCATCTTAACAAATGGCTTCTTTCATTTGGCCCATAACAATAGCTGTTGGACCGAACAACTCAGCCGAAAATGATTTTAGTTTAAAACGCTGACATGAAAGTTGGTGGGTGATAGGCATCTCCTTGAGGAATGCTGGGCCCTCAGTTACGTCAGACACGGACTTGTTTCATGGAGTTGAAGTTGGACCAACTATAACGTTATTTACTGCGAGTTCACAGAACCTCAATTCAATTCAAGCTCAATTCATTTTCTATGAGGAAAAAAAGGAAGAAAAGGCTAAATATTTCAAAAAGCTAAAGTTGCACCAATACCAGAAGTCATAGCAGGATAGGTTTGGGTACTGTACTGTTTATTGCATTTATGATTCAGTGCAACAAAATAAACCAATTTAAAGATAATGGATCATTGTAATAATTGTTTTATTTATATAGGGGGGCACCGTAGAGTTGCACTCAGGTTCAAATACTCCGACCCGGCCCCAGCCCATAGCCATCATCTCCAAACTCCACCCGATCTGACAAATTAACAGTAATTACAGGTCCAAACACAGAAAAAAAAACAACATTTTAAATTAAGCTTATACCACCGACTATTATTAACGGTTAGAAATGACAGCTTTATTCTGGCCAATCACCGATCTAAAAAAAAGTCTGATCTGCCGATTCTGATTTTGGCCGATACCGATTTTGTTTTATAAGCGACACTGTCAGGTGTTATAAGGTCACAATGCACCTTCAATTTTCCAATATTATTTTATTGAAAAATATACACTTGATCAATATTCTAGAAACAATATAAACTTGTAACTGGCCATGAGGTAGTGCTCTGAAATTTAAATGAAGTTTAGACGATTGTTGTTAAAACTACAAAAAAAATCTGTAAAATCGGTTTCTCGTGTACCGGTAATTATCAACCGATTGCCAATCACCCAAAATTAAGGAAATCGGGGCCGATAAATCAGACGACCGATTTATTGGTGCACTCCTAATAATGACTTTAATAGCTGGATGTCCGGCCCCTGAGCTGCTGGCTTTCAGAAACTGTGACCCCCTGAGCAGTTTAGTTGAAAAGCCCTGAATTATGATGATTTTGACTGTTTATGATGTTTCTGACTGTTTATGATGTGTCTGACTGTTTAAAATGTTTCTAACTGTTTATGGTGTTCCTGACTGTTGATGGTGTTCCTGACTGTTGATGGTGTTTCTGACTGTTTAC